CCACAATGTAGCTCCCCTGCGATACTCGTAAGAGGCACTCTCGCATGTTTTTCCAGAACCGATAGATCCAAAATTACAGCCAAACGCTTCCTAGACACCCAACAGCAACAGATGTAAACGCATCCCGAAGATGTAATGGTCTTTCCACCAGGGGCCACACGGCGGAATGAGCTTTTGACTTCTCGCAAGCACACAACGGAGCACCGTACTATGAGTAGCGGATCTCAGAAATGTACAAGAGGCTAACTCTATACAAGTCGGCAAAGCTTTTGACTGCATCAAAGGCCTTCTCCAAAATACAGGATCAACAAGTTGCAACGAGACCCTAGAAGGAAAAGCCTCGGCATCTTGACAAAAAATAGCAGCGAAATCGAGGTGCAGAGACTACTGTTTTAGACAAGTCCGACCCTGAGCCTTCCCGAGAGACAAGAAGCGGAAAGCTTCAAACGGCACAGTATAGAAACTGAAACGTGCTACAGGATGAAAGCTGGCGCCGACAGCAAACAGTCCGGAGACACCGAAGCCTCCAAGATCTACGACAAAAGCATCTCCAAACATGGAAAAGCTGAAACTGCGAAAAGACACAATAATAAGAAACCACAGTTGTTGAAGGACGAACACGACCTCCGAAACGACAGCTTGGAAAACTGCTCAGTGGCATTTACAAGCTGCGACAAGCGAATGGCCAACGACGTGCTATCACGCTCCTTGGGGTCCGGGCCAAGCTACCGCCAGCGTGAGGGCACCCCGCGCTGTTCTCGAGTCCTCGGAGTTGCTTGCCAGCTGTTCAGAGGCTGTTGAGATCGTCGTGCCTCCCAACTATGAAAAAAAAACCTCTTCCTCCGCCTCCTCCTTTTTTGATCATTACACATTCCCCCGAGTGAGCACATGAGAAAGTGTTGGAACGAGGACTGCCCGAAAGCTACATAAGCCGTGCACCAGGAGTGGCGCATGCCGCACTTCCCTGACATCACGGACTTGCTCGATGGCACTTCCGGACTGGTGAGTGTCAAGCGTACTGAGCCACACAGCTATCTGCGGGTCTCCACTTTGCGAGAGAAGCCCGCACCTGCTTCGAGGAAGTGGTCTGCGGCTTGACACCGGTGTGCGAACCTGAAAAACGAAACAGAAGAAAATCTTCAAGCTAGTCGGACCTCAGCTCTAAGCTCCCGACCGGCGTGTCAAAGGCATTGAGCATTGGTGCTGCATTAGCTGCTGGCTCTGTGCAGACTCTCTGAGATTGCTGGCTGGGGGCTTGTCCTCCGAACATCCCTCAGGTAGAACCTGATGCGTTTATGCGTGAAGCCCTGTGGCTTGAATCACGGGTGAGTTGGGGTAGACTCGCTTCGGCCTTCGCTTGGTATGGCTTGGTGGTACTTGTAACCTTGCTGGTGAGCCTCATAGCATCCCCAGCTGTTGATGTCGCAACTGGTCGGACCCTCCACAGACAACAAAGCCGAGATAAGCAGTCTGCTTTTGCCACGGCCAGGGGTGACACTCGGTGTGTGCGACTGCTGAGCTGAGACTGTTCCTCTACTCATTCTTGTCTACATCCGTGGCATTTTCACCTTTATCGGCATAGAGAAGCAACATGCGAGGCGCAAGAGAGAGACAGTGACTGGGCTTGCCCGCTTTCCTTTTCATCTTTTTCGTCGTCCTTGTCCTTGCCTGGAAAAAACATTCAGCAAGCACGCCTCGAAGCCCGCAGCAGGGGGGGAGCTCGGTCCTTCCGCATCTGTGTCCTGCGATGTGAAGTGCGCTTCTTGTTTAGAGGACTGCGCCAGCCGCTGCGCGAGGTGCCTTGCCGCTCTTGTCGTCACCGTCGTCTTTCTCCGACTTGGTCTCAGTCGACTCATCGCCCGTTACCTGCGTCTGCGCTTAGCGGCTTTTTTGCTTTCCCCTTGGGATAGACGTCCGGCGGATGTCCGCAGATTCCGAGCCCCTGGCCTCGTCGTCTCCTTTCTTGGACTTCTTCTCCTTCTTGTCCTGAAGTCATGGAGATGCAGAGAAGCATCAAAGCTGCTACGACGCTGCTCCTTCTTCTCCTTCTTCTCCTTTTTCTCCTTCTTGTCCTGAGAAACTCTCACACAAGTAAGTGGGCATGCATGCACCGCTGCAGGCTGCAAGTGCTCCCTGCTCGCCACTGGTCGTCGGGCCTTGTCCTTCTTCTTGCCGCCGGTGATCTTCCTTAGAGATCTCGCGGCTACAAGCTGCACTACGAGCGGTGCCGGCAACTTGAGCCGAGCATCTCCCAGGTCAGCTTCACGCCATCCCAGCCTATGCCGACCACGCAGATGGCAAGGAGCGACCACCTTGAGAGAGAGAGAGAGAGAGAGAGAGACTCCGAGGCCTGTCTCCCGAAATAACGCTAAGCACTGCGCAGCACGCCCTTCATCTTTGGATTCGCTGCCTTAGTGTTGGCCGAGAAGGGTAGAATGGGTAGAACTGCAACATACTGCAACCTTCTTAGTGGGACGCCTGCTCGCATCCACAGCCTCGGGCCCAGCAGTCCTGCATACGACACGCGCCGGAGCCTTTGATTCCCGCCTCTTGGACGGAAGCCTTAATTACTTCGTAATTCTCGGCAGTGATGGGCACTGAGAAGTTGCCTCAGTGTGAGCGCAAGAGCACGCAGGTAAGCTCGAACAGTCCCCGCACCGTCTTCCAGCTCTATTTCGATGGGCTCGCCTTCACCTTAGCCGCGGTCACCGGCACCAGGAGCCTCTCCACTCTCCAATCTGCGCTCTATGAGACTCTATCGATCTCTATCGCATCGATCGCTCTTTCGCAAGGCTTTTGCAAAAGCCGAGGCGCTCTTGGGCCACTCCTGCGCCGCAACGCAACGCGACGAAAGATGTCCGAGACGCATCTGCGGACTCCCTGCTCCTCCCAACCGCCCACGAAGTAGACGGCACTGAGCTCCTGCGAGCGAAGACGTCGTCGAGTCATCACTGGATACACGCGGGCACGCCGAGTCCTCGGCGACTCTCCGCTTCCACTCCCCCGCGGCGCCGCAGGTCCTCTTCGCAAGCGCGAAGAGAGACCCCGCCCCCTCCAGAACCAAAGATCGGCCCGCCCAAAGGGCCCACACCCAAGCTTGTCCTGGAAGCTGCAAACAGAGCCGATGTGTTGGCTCCACCTGCCGAACAACTCCCTCCGCCCCTCGAGCTAGTCTTGAACCGTCGCTGGCCTACACTGACGATTTTTCTGCACTTGTCGTCCGTGTCGTTGAACTTCACGAAGATCTCTCCCTGCACCTGAGAAAGGCGGGGATCTGAGCGGGAGATCCCGTGCCCTTGCCTCGGGCACACGCAATGCAGAACGCCCTGAACGGCGAGAGCTGGTCGCCTGCTTGTAGTCTGCAAGTGACCAGGACTTGACTGCACAAATCCCCGATTGCCATGCCCCCGGATAAAACACTGCAGCATCCAGAACCCGATGACGAGGAGAAGAATGGTGAAAGCTGGGTGCGGTGCTCTTGGGGCAGTCAGCCCGCTTGGCCCTCGCAAAATCTTAGATGCTGTCCCTCCCTCCCAGGCCCAAACAACCCCATTCAGGCGCATGCGGCTGAGCTCCGCTTTGGCCCTTGTTCTTGGCATCCTTCATCTGATCGAAGATGTCCTAAAAGCAGCCGCAATTGGGCCAAAGGGCAGGAAAGCGCTGTCGGAACCAGCGCCCCCCCCCCCGCCCCGGACAAAAGGACATAGCTGCCCCCTCCCAAACACTAAACCTGTGAAGAAATACCAGGCCCCCCCCCCGGAAAAAAGAAAGACATGGCTTCCCCCTCGCAAACACTAACGCGCGAAGAAATACCAGCGCCCCCCCCTCCCCGGAAAAAAAGGACATAGTTTCCCCCTCCC